GCGGGTGCTAAAAGTGCTAGTCAGCGCGTCTAGGGGGAAACCAAGGAAGACACAAGGGATAGTGCAGGCAGTTAGCTTGGCCGTGCCAGAGGCACGAACGTGAGCAAGGCAACCCCAGATGTGGAACGCAGACGCATCACCAGGGAACTCGATCCAGAGAAGGGTCAGCGAAACTTGCGGCCGCTGGGAGTGCACCCACAGGTTAAGCTGGTGAGTGGCGAGTGAACAACGAACCGCCACAGAAAATGGGGTGCACCAGCATGGATCATGGAGGTACGAGCCACCTCCATGACCAAACCGATGCATCCCTCAGCGACCCCATTCTGCTGCGGGGAGTCCGGCAGGGTGTACGACTGGGTGATGCCCTCCGCACGACGGAACTGGCCAAGTCGATCGGAGGCAAAGTCGCCACCATGGTCGGATTGGAGACACAGCACGGGAAGGCCGCGGTCGACTCACGCAGCTACCACCCACGGGGATAAGAACGTCAGGCACGTCGGCCTTGCATTCCAGGGGAAACACCATGGTGTAGCGCATGTAGTCGTCGACAAGCACTAGAAATTACCGCTCTCGGCGCAGCCCAGGGACGGGGGCTGGGCCCCAGACGTCCAGGTGCAGGGTCAGGAGTGGCGCAATGGCAGGGCGGAGTGAGGAGGAGTGAGGAGCATGGCACAGCCGGCCCTCAACGCAAAGCATGCACGGCGGCGCAGGCGAGGGAGGGAGGGCAGGGAGCAACGCAGGGAGACCTATGACAAGACCGTGCTGGGACATGTGACGCAGGCGCGGGATTGCAGGGTGACCTAGGCGGTGGTGCCACAGAAGCGACGGGTGAGTGAGCGACCGACACGAGCAGCCACAGCCACCAAGGTGGATGCAAGCACCTGGGGGGGTGCCCTCACCAAGGGGGACGCGGTGTCAAGCGTAAATAGTCCAGACACCGGGTCCCGGGGGAACGTGGTGAGGGGAGCAAATGTGGCGGCCTCGGTACAAACAGCGTACCGCTCGTGTTCGGGGAACGTAGTGGTGACGCCGAGGTCCTGGAAACAGCTGACACCCACCAGGTTTCTGGAGAAGCCCCTAGGCAATGGTACATCAAGCTGCGGGAAGTCTTGGAGGCGATCGGCTTTGCCACTAGGTTTCTGGAGAAGCCCCTAGGCAATGGTACATCAAGCTGCGGGAAGTCTTGGAGGCGATCGACTTTGCTCCCTCAACGGTCGATCAATCATTGTTCATGCTTGGCGGGGGGGAAAGCATCAAGACAAGTTCAAGTGCAAGACCCTTGGTGACGTCAACTACTACCTTGGGCTTCTCATTGAGCGAGATGTGGAGAAGCGGTGGATGCGAGTGCATCAAAAGAAGTACTTGGAGGCTGTGGATGCAATTTTTGGAAGAATGAAGATCATATTGCAACTCCTCTATCCTCGGGGTTCAAGTGTGCGAAAGGACCAGCAGAGAAAAGTGTTGGTGAAGAGGAGAGGTGCCGTTTTCACTCCTTGGTGGGCAGCCTCATGTATGCGGGCATTCACACAAGGCCGGATGCAGCCTTTGCTACTGGGTAGCTGGCTAGGGTTGTCCAATGGCCCAATGAAGAGCAGGTAGCAGCTGGAGAGAGAGTGGCCAAGTATCTTGGCCAAACAGCAACTGTTGGACTGCAATACTCCGCGGCGGCACAAAGGCGTCAAAAGGGTGCGGATGGAGGTTGTGTGGCAGCGGCGTTTGCTAGCTGAATTGGGGGAGGAGTAGCAAGGACCTACCCCACTCTATTGTGATAGCCAGGGTGCTATTGCATTGGCTAAGAACCCCATGCTTCATGACCTTACCAGGCACATGAAGGTGAAGGGGCATTGGGTGAGGAGCATGGTAAAATGGAGTTGCACTACGTGAAGACGACGGTGCAGCTTGCTGATATGATGACCAAGAGGCTGGTTGGGTGTGTACGAGCAGCTCGCAACAGCTAAGGGAGTCTATTACATAAAGACAGGGACTGATCGCATCTGGGTACTGGAGTACAGTTAACTTTAGGAGTTACTACTACAGGAAGCCCACGACACTACAGTTTCAAGGCACTTCGGAGTGAAAAAAAAACACGGCAGCAATTGACCTGATATTATTTCAGGCTCGACATGCAAGGGGACGTTTAGCCGCATGTGGTTTCATGCAGAACCTGCCAAACTATGAAATCATCGAAGCAGAAGCCAACTGGATAATTGCAGCCGATTCCGCCGCCTGAGAGTGCGTGGCAGTAGGTGACGATGGACTCGTCACGGGACTGCCTGCCAAGTATGGCTGCAATGACGCGATATGTGTCGTCGTCGATAAGCTGGCGAAGATGGCCCATTTTGCCACCTGTAAGAAAAGCATCTCAGCCAAAGAAACAGGCCGCCTTTTCATCTCAACCGTCGTTCGCCTCCACGGGAGTCCATCCGCCATCATTTCGGATCGTGACACGAAATTCATCTGTAATTTCTGGCGCAACTTCTAGGAACAGTTTGGCATACGCCTGCAATTGTCCTCCGCCTACCACCCCGAGACTGACAGACAAACCGAACGGGCCATTCAGACGATGGAGCAGCTGATTCACGCCACCTGCGATGACGTGGCCGACTGGGAGCAGCAACTGCCACAAATTGAGTTCACATATAATAACGCCCCGTCAGGCACTACACGACAGTCGCCATTGTATATGAATTACGGGCAGAACCCTACAGTACCGATCACGCCCAACATAAAAAATCCTGTACCTCGAGCCCATCAGTTTGCATAAATATTACAGTATGCCCGAGAGCGAGTAGCCGAAGCCATTAAGCGCGCGGATCTTATTTCCAAGCGCAAAGCTGATCTGCACTGTGGAGTAGTAGCTTACCAGGCTGGAGACTTAGTATTGCTCGATACCCAAAACCTTCGACTGCCCATCGTCCCAAAACTTCGCCCTCGCTACTGTGGACCATTTACCATCAGCCATATAATATCTTCCGTTACAGCCCATTTGATGTTACCAGCCACCTGGAACGTCAGCCCATCATTCCACGTGCGATTACTTTGACCATACGTCGCCAGCACCAGTAAACTACCACGTCACTGAGCGAATATGAACATCCGACCACTCGCCAAACCTACTGTCGAACCTACGAAGATTCTCAGCCATCGGATCAAGGACCCACGAGGGGCTCGCTCGATCGAGTTTCTGATATCTTAGAAGGACCAGACGGCCTTGGAAAACAGTTGGGTGCCCCTGGTACAGATCGAGAATTACCCGGTGTTATGAGTCTACCTCCAGTCACGCAATGTGTGCGACGTCGGCGGTCTTAGCTAAGACCATACCTTGGAGGGGTGAGGGTGTAAGGAAATGGTATTTCCTTATCACGGGTTTTAGTTAGTAAGGCGTACAGTGCTATAACGGGGTTGCCGCGCAGCTGTGACACGAAATTCAAACCGCCGTACCCAAATGTGGCCTCCTGACGAGCCGTGTGCATTTTGCCCGCCTTGCTGTTTCATGCCTAGAATCTGGGCGCTTCGTGCCAATTTACGAACCAGACGTCGCAGCTCTGCCGAGCCACGACCATGTGTCAACATATATATTTAATATATATATATGTGTAGGCTAGGTAGGTGTTCTACTAGTACCCGTTCTTGCTGTAGATGCGACAACACTCCTCTGGTACCTCTTTCTCTCTCTTCTCTAGTGATCCCCTTTTTTTCTCTTGCTACTTTCTTCTACCTAGTCAAAACCCTCTTCTAACATGGTTTCAGAGCAGGTCCATCCTGATGGGCCTCCTCCCCACGCTTCCGCAGTGCACTCTCTCTTTTCCTCCCACTGTCGCGCAGCCGTGGCAGCCTCGTCGCGCTGCAATGGCGGCCTTGATGCGCTGTCCTGGTGGCCTCGACGCGCTGCCGTGGCGGCCTCGACGCACCAGCGCACGGACGGCAGCGGCCTGCGTGCTGGTTTAGCGCCAGCCAGCACGCCTGTGGGCCAGCCAGCGCACCAGCCAGGGCGGCTCGCTATCAGGCTCCGCCGCCGAAGATCCGCCCCCTCCCCTGCATCCCCCCTCCTCCCCGCCGCAGCTGATGGCTGTCTCGCGCGGTCCTTCCGTGTCGTCGCAGAGCCGTGCCACGCCGCCGGGTGCCGCGGGCTTCGCCGCCGCCGCTGTCGTCGAAGTCGTCGCCGCCGCAGGTGCCGCTGGCTCCGCCGCCGTCGCTGTCGTCATTGTCGCCGCCGCCGCAACTGCCCCCGCCGCCGACGTCGCCGCCTCGCACGCCGAGGGGTCGAACGAGCTGAAGAAGCCACCGATGCTGCTGGGTATGGGTGCTAGGCCTAGGGGGTGCTGGTCTTAGAGGTGCTGTGTGTGTGGTGTGTTTTGACCTTTCTTACTACTCAAACTAGTGGACAGACTAGTAGTGCTGCCCTGGTCTTTTGCTTCTGAGAGTAGCGCCTACCAAGCCTAGGGGGTGTGTGAACATGTATATTTATTATATTTATATATATATGTGTGTGTGTGTGTGTGTGTAGGCTACGTAGGTGTTCTACTAGTACCGGTTCTTGGTGTAGAGGGGACAACACTTCTCTTGTACCTATCTCGCTTCTCTAGTGATCCCCTTTTTTCTCTCGCTACTTTCTTCTACCTAGCCGAAACCCTCTTCTAGCACCGTGTGCTCTAGGCTAGCTATATCCATGCTCCCTGATGTTTTGATGTTGCCTCAGTTGTATTGTTTCCTCGTTACTCAATCCTTCGGCACACGCTCTTTCCGCTTCATTGCACCTTACTTCGGTTGTATGCTCAAAACCTAGTTCGACTCATTCTACACACCCTTTGATCAGGATCTGGAAGGATTTGGAACAATGCCATGCTCTACTAAACATAGTATGTCCCTTGCATAAGCTAGTACATAGATTTAGATGTTGAAGCTTTAGAATGGCATTCTGAAGAATGATAAGGTGAGATTATGACGGGTATAACATCTCTCTTAGGGCCCCGTCTCCAAGCCAGTTGGGGGTATCCAGTTCACGTGGGTTTAGAGGCAAGACCATTTCGCGGTGAACCAAACACGCGGAAGCCGGCGGAGCCGCCCGCGTTTCGCGGACGTCTCCCAGCCCCGGAAAGCGGCGCGCGTTTCGGCGGCGATGGCGCGGCAGGTGGCGGGTGCGCGGGGCGGCGGCTCGGCGGCGATCGTGGTGGGCACGGCGCTGGGCGGGCTGGCGGGATTCTACGTCATGCACCACGCGGAGCGCCGCTACCAGGCGAGTGCTGCGCGCGCTCACTCGCTCGTGCCACTTTCTACCTTGCTCACTGCGACTTCATTCGTTTGCCCTGATCGAACGCGTCGTTCATGTGGGTACCTGGCGGCGCGCTCGGATCTACTCGTGCTATGACGACGCTCATCGCGCGCGTGCGCGCCATCCCTACCGTCCTCCCTCCGTTCCTACAAGTCCCCCCCACTTCCGGGGACCCCCTCCCCCTCTCGCCCGTTCCCCACGGCGCACCTACCCGCCGAGCAGGCCAGGCTCAGCATGTTGCACACGCCGGAGGGAGTGGGTACGCGAGACACGGAGCGGGCGAGGTGTTTAGTGACGGCTGCGATGGCAAGCACCACCACACGGTGCCTCTGGGCTCGCTGCAGAGTATGGTGCTTCCATGCGCACAGAGAGGGCGCGGGGCTAAAGAGCTGCTGACGCCCTCGTGCTCATCCCCATGGCACGTGGTCCGTGCCCTCCCTCACCCCCCGCAGGAGCGACTGCGGCAGGACATGGCACGACTGGACGCGAGGGACGAGGCAGCAGCGCGCACAGCAGCGGACGACGCACATGGCACGCAGCTGGACGCCCCAAAGACAAGCACGCACTGACCGCCCTTGAGCGCGCCCTCTCACACGCACACCAGCGCCCATGGCTCCTCTCGCCGTGGTGTGTGCACAGTGCTGCAGTCACTTACACGGACACACGCCTGATTGATGCAACCCCACCGACAGTTCACTCCTGGTGTAGTGTTGGCGTGGCACGTGCACAGGTGCAGGCATGCACGCCAATACCCCCTGCAAGGGGAGCGGGGACTTGCCACTCCAGCCTTTGCTTCTGCTTGCTCGCTTTGCAGTGGTGTCTCCTAGGAGGGGGTATGAATTGACTATCAAGATGAGTAGTTGAGTAGAATAGAAGGATACAGGGATATATAGACTAGGGGTTGTATGTACCCTTTAAGGCACAATCCAGTATAGTCTACAGTAACTACATAAGTTACATTTGCCACACCCCCGAAGACTACCGTAATCCCCCGTATATAACACCCGCCGAAATAGTCACTCCGCGGGTGGTTTATGCGGGGGAGAGCTTATGATAGGGTGAATTTAGGAGAGCACCCGCTTTTCGGGGGTTGCATTTTACATAACACCCTCCTCGTTTTATACAGCAAAGAACAGTATTTCGTAGTTTTTCAAGCTCAGCTCGATTGAGAAAAAAAACGAACAGGATGAAAAACGCAATGTCAACTACCATTAGCAGCGAAAAAACTGGCAGAAACATCAACACAAGTTGCAGCGCGAAATGGAAATGTCAGCAAAGGTCAAGACTCGGGAGGATTTCGACCGTCGAATTCGCGGATTCTGTTGTGATTTGACGGTCAGAATCCTCCCGAGCGAAATCCTCCCGTCGAAGTCGCGGATTCTGTCGCGATCATGACGGTCGCAGGTGCCGCACATGTCAACTTATACATATTATCTATGTAGAAGTTATAGGCTAGACTGAGGTATGCTTCTAGTGAGTACAACCAACTAGTATTTGTTCTAGGTTTCCACCTCTAGTAATCATTCGTTTCTACGTTAACATGGTATCACGCTTAGGTTAGGATCCCCCCGCCTACCGCTTCCGCCCGTCGCGCCTCCTAGGCCCCGTCGCGCCCCCTAGGCCCCGTCGCGCCCCCCCTGGGCCCCGTCGCGCTCGTTAGGCCCCGTCGCGCCCCCCCTGGGCCCCGTCGTGCCCGCTGGGCCCCGTCGCGCCTCCTAGGCCCCGTCGCGCTCCCCCTAGGCCCCGTCGCGCCCGCTGGGTCCCGTCGCGACCCCTAGGCCCTAACGCGCCCCCGCTGGGCCCCGTTGCGCCTCCTAGGCCCCGTCGCGCCCCCCATGGGCCCCGTCGAGCCCGCTGAGCCCCGTCGTGCCTCCTAGGCATCGTCGCGCCTCCTAAGCCCCGTCGCGTCCCCCCCCTCTGGGCCCCGTCGCGCCCGTTCGGCCCCGTCGCGCCCCTCCTAGGCCCCGTCGCGCCCGCTGGGCCCCTTCGCGCTTCCTAGGCCCCGTCGCGCCTGCTAGGCCCCGTCGCGCCCCCCCTGGGCCCCGTCGCGCCCGTTAGGCCCCGTCGCGGCCCCCCTGGGCCCCGTCGTGCCCGCTGGTCCCCGTCGCGCCTCCTCGGCCCCGTCGCGCCCCCCCTGGGCCCCGTCGTGCCCGCTGGGCCCCGTCGCGCCCCTTAGGCCCCGTCGCGCCCGCTGGCCCCTGTCGCGCCTGCTGTTAGCGCTCGCCCGCCTGGCCTCCTCCTAGTGCCGCTCGGCCTCCTCCTAGTGCCGCCCGGCCTCCTCCTAGTGCCGCCCGGCCCCTTCCTAGCGCCGCCCGGCCTCTCCTCAGCGCTGCCCGGCCCCTCCTCGTGCCCGACCGGCCCCAGCAGCACCAGCCTGGCCCCTCCCAGCACCAGCCCGGCCCCAGAGCACCTGCCCGCCTCCCCTGCTCGGCCTGCCGTGTCCTCTCGGGCCCTGTGTCTTCTGCTTGCCTGCGCTGGGACGCCTAGCTGCTGCCCTACTGGAGAGTGCTGCCGCCGTGTCCCCGCGCCGCTGTGCTCCTGTGCCGCTGAGGAGCTGTGCTGCTGTGCCGCTGTGTCGCTGAGGAGCTGTGCCGCTGACCCTGCACGATGGCTGACTTTGTGCTCCGCCTGGACGCTGAGGGCCACGCGGTTGACTTCGCCGCCTGGCTCTCCGATCTTCGCCGCCAGCTTACAGGTCAGCGCCAGGATGGCCACTCTCTGGTTGTCCATGCTGATGGCTTGCTCCCCCGTCCCCCTGCACCTACTCCCCTCCCTGCTGACCCCTCCTCTGATGACCGTGAGGCTTTCTCTACTGCTGCGCTGGCCTGTGCGATCTGGGACTCACGCGATGCAGTAGCTCAGGTTGCTATTAGTCACGCCCTCCCTGTGTCTGAGCGCTCGCGTTTTGCTACTGTTGAAACGGCCAAAGCTTATTTAGACGCCGTTATTGCTCGCTATTCCACCCCTGCCTCCGCTTCTGCTGGCCGCTTGCTCTTTCCGATGCTGTTCCCAGACCTGGCTGCCTTCCCTACTGTCGCAGATTTTGCCACTCATTTGCGTGCCCTAGAGACTCGCTATCGCACTGCCAGCACTGCTGCCCAGCTCACTGCGCTCCCCCCTCCTTTCTGCATGACGCTCTATTTTATCGCTATGCGCCTGCCAGACCGCCTCGCTAGTGCTCGCGACCACTTTCTTAGCCAGCACCCGGGTGACCTCACCCTGACCGCCTTTGTCGACACCCTCACTGAGATCGAGACTCGCCAGCGCACTATCGCTCAGTCGAGCGGTGCGCCGGCAGTCTCTATCTTTCACGGCTGTGCCCCATCCCAGTGCACGTTCACTGACGTTTCGGCTGCGGTCGCCACGGCGACCCCTCTTACCGAGACGGCTGCTGCTGTCCACCCGCAGCAGCGCTCGCGTCGCGGTGGCCGTGGCCGCCAGGGAGGTAGGGGTGGTGACGCAGGTGGTAGTGGTCGTGGTGGTGGTGACGGTAGTCCGCCTGAGGGGACTACCACCGGTGGGCAGGAGCAGCAGTCCCAGCAGCAGCAGGACCAGCCCCAGCCGCAGCCGCCGTCCCAGCAGCACCCGCCGCAGCCGTGGGCTCGTCTCCCGCCTGGTTGGCCCGGCACCTTCGGAGGCGGTGGCCGTGGTGGCGGCCCGCGCAGCTTGGCGTCTACCAGCGGCTCCAGTGCTGTGACCTGCCAGTACCAGCTTCAGACCGGGCCTCTCCGCGGCACTCTGTGCCGCCGCCCGCACCCGACCGCCCGCTGTTTCCGCCGCCTCGACGATCTTTTTCGTCGTCGCTTTGGCCCGGCCCCGGACCTCCCTGACTGGCACAGCCTGCTCCGCCAGGGCGTGCCGATCTTTGAGTTAGACATGGATCAGATAGGTGCTGCTTTGCATGCTTTGTATGCTGACGCTTCTAGTGTTGATGGATCTTACTACCCTGTGTACTCTAGTTTAGGTGTTTCACCCTTGTGTAGCTTAGCTTCCCCTGCTGCGACAGGCGTAGGACTGCCTAGGTTGCCTAGTCTAGTCGCTGCACCGGCTCCGTCCCCGGCCTCCGCCACTGCGTCGCTGTCCTTCACTCTCGACTCTGGTGCTTCTGCCTGCTTCTTCCGCGACCGTTCCACGCTCACGCCGCTTGCTGCACCTGCTGTTGTCTCTCTCGCTGACCCCTCTGCGGGTCCGGTCGTCGCGCGCAGTTCTACGTCCCTTCCCTGTCCGGCAGTTCCCTCGGGCTCCCTTACTGGCCTCCACGTTCCCTCGTTCTCCAGGAACCTGGTTGGTGTCGGCTGTCTCCAGGACCTCGGCGTCACCACCACGTTCCCCGGGCACGAGCGGTTCGCTGTCTGTTCTGAGGCTGTCTCAGGTTCCCCCCTTGCGACGTTCCCCCGGGACCCGGTGTCCGGTCTGTTTACCCTACACACCGCTTCCCCCCCGGTTGGTGCGTCCTCCCAGGTCGCTGCAGCTTGCTCGTGTCGGTCCCTCACTCACCCCTCCCTTCTCTGGCACCACCGCCTAGGTCACCCTGCTCTCCCGCGTCTGCGTCACATGTCCCAGCACGGTCTTGTCTTAGGTCTCCCCGCGTCGCTCCCTGCCCTTCCTCCCTCGACTGCGCCACCGTGCACGCCTTGCGTCGAGGGTCGGCTCCGCCGTGCTCCTCACTCCTCCTCGCTGCGTCCTGCTACTGCCCCCCTTCAGACCCTGCACTTGGACGTTTGGGGCCCTGCCCCCGTCCCCGGACCGCGCGGTGAGCGCTACTTCCTTGTGCTTGTCGACGACTACACGCGCTACACCACGGTGTTTCCCCTGGAGCGGAAGGCCGACGTGCCCGACGTTCTTCTCCCGTGGGTTGTGGCTGCGCGTCTCCACCGCGGTCTCCCCGTGTTGTGTCTCCACTCCGACCGTGGCGGCGAGTTCGCCTCTGGTCGGCTTGGACAGTTCTGTCGTGCGGAGGGCATCACCCAGTCGTACACGTTGCCGGACTCGCCACAGCAGAATGGGGTTGCTGAGCGCCGCATCGGCTTGGTCATGGAGGTCGCCCGTACCTCCATGATCCATGCCGATGCCCCCCACTTTCTGTGGCCGTTCGCTGTTCGCTACGCGGCTCACCAGCTTAACCTGTGGCCACGCTCCCAGCGGCCGCAGGTTTCGCCGACCCTCCTTTGGACCGGGTCCCCCGGTGACGCGTCTGCGTTCCACGTCTGGGGCTGCCTTGCTCACGTTCGTGCCTCTGGCACGGACAAGCTCACTGCCCGCACTGTCCCCTGTGTCTTCCTCGGTTTCCCCCTGGACTCGTCTGACTGGCTTTTCTACCACCCGCCGTCTCACCGCTTCCTCCACTCTCGTGACGTCACCTTTGATGAGTCCGTCTCCTTCTACCGCCGCTTCCCTCACCGAGGTCTCCCAGTTGCCCCCCCCCTTTTCCTTGCTCCCTCTCCCCCGGTAGCCCCTGCCCCTCTCCCGCCTCGTCCTGCCCCGTCTGGTGTCTCCCACGTCACTCCCCTCCCGTCGGTTGTCCCCGTTGAGGAGTCTGCTGACTCTGGTGGTACCCCCGGTCCGTCCTTGCCGCGTCCCCCTTCCACGGTGCCTCCGCCCCCACTGTCGCAGTCGCCGACCCCGCTGCCGCCGCCGTCGCCGTCGCCGCCGCAGCCGTCGCCGCTGTCGTCGCCGCCGCCGCCGCTGTCGCTGCCGCAGCCGTCGCCGCTGTCGCCGCCGCCGCAGCCGTTGCCGCCACTGCCGCCGCTGCTCTCGGCCCCTGGGGGTGCTGGTGTGGAGGAGGGTGTTCGTCCTGCGGCTTCTGGGGGTGCCGCTGGTGTTGGAGGGGGTTCTCGCTCTGGGGGTGTTGGTTCTGGGGGTGCTGCTGTTGAGTGTTCTGCCGACGGTCGTTCTGCCTCTGCTGGTCCGAGAGTTCCGGCCCAGCCGTCGTCGCCGCCGCAGCAGCCGTCGCCGCCGGTTTCCGCTCTCCGCCTGCTCGGCCTTCCCTCCCCGGACCGCGCGCCGGTGTCTCCCCCACCGCCTCCTGACCTCCCTGTCTACGGTCCTGTGTTCCCGCCGCCAGACTCGTCTCCGGCCCGTCTTCCTCCTCGTTCCCCTCCTGTGTCTCCTCCGCTGTCCCCTGACCCTACCCCTCCGTCTCACGTTTGGGCTCGCCGTCCCTCCCGTGCTCGTCCCGTCTCTCCTGTCCTGCCCACCCACCCTATGTTGCTTCGTTCCCACTCGTCTCGTCCTCCCCTCCTCCCGTCCCCTCCTCCCTCGTCCCTTGCTGTTGCACCTCCTCCGTTCTCTGACTACCTCCGTGCTGCTCGTCCCCTTGTCCCTCGGGTCCTTGCCTCTCTTGTTACCGACCCTGCTGTTCCTGTCTCGCGCCTTGACGCGCTTGTCGCTGCTGTCGCTGACTTCGCTTCTACCCGCCGCCTTGACTACGCTACCGCTCTGGTCTCTGACCCTGCCCGTCCTCTGTCCGTCGGGGGTGCTCCTGCCCTTGGCAGTGACGTCCTAGAGGACAGGCAGTACGAGCTGGCTTTCCTTTCCGAGGCTGCTCCCCATCTCTGCTCCATGCTGTTAGTCCCTGAGGGTGACCCAGACGCCTTCGACATCCCGACCCCTCGCACCTACGCTGAGGCCACCTCGGGACCTTGGGCCTCTCAGTGGATAGCTGCCATGGAGCAGGAGATGGCATCTTGGAGATCCACCGGCACTTACGTCGACGCAGTTCCCCCGCCTGGGGTGAACGTAGTCGATGGTCGGTGGCTCTTCAAGGTGAAGCGCCCCCCTGGAGAGCCGCCTGTCTTCAAGGCGCGCTACGTGGCCAGAGGTTTCAGTCAGCGCGAGGGGGTTGACTTCTTCCAGACCTTCGCCCCGACCCCGAAGATGACCACTCTTCGGGCGCTGCTACACGTAGCAGCACAGCGTGACTACGAGCTTCACTCCCTCGACTTCTCTACTGCCTTTCTTCAGGGCAGCCTACACGAGCAGGTCTACCTGCGCCGACCACAGGGCTTCACTGGTACCTTCCCTCCTGGGACCCAGTGGCTTCTCAGGCGCCCGGTCTACGGCCTGCGTCAGGCTCCCCGCGAGTGGCACGACACGCTACGTGCCACGTTAGCAGACCTGCAGTTCTTTCCGTCCTCTGCTGACCCTTCACTGTTTGTGCGTTCCGGCCAGACTCCGTTCTACATCCTTGTCTACGTAGACGACCTGGTCTTCGCTACTCCTGACAGGGACGCACTGGCCTCTGTGAAGGCTGAGCTGCTGAAGAGACACACCTGCACTGACCTTGGAGAGCTGCGTCGCTATCTTGGCCTGCAGATCTCTAGGGACAGAGCAGCACGCACCATCACTCTGACCCAGTCACACTTGGTGCGTCAGGTCCTTCAGAGGTTCGGTCTCCAGTTCTCCTCCGCACAGCCCACACCTCTACCCGTAGACCATGGGCTCTCTGCTCCCGTTCCTGAGGAGCCAGTAGAGCCCAGTGGCCCCTACGCAGAGCTGGTGGGTTGCCTCATGTACCTGATGACTTGCACTCGCCCAGATCTCGCATACCCTCTCAGCATCCTGGCTCGCTTTGTGGCTACAGGCAGACACCGACCTCAGCACTGGTCTGCCGCTAAGAGGGTTTTGCGTTATCTTGCTAGTACATCAGGCATGGGGTTAGTGCTAGGAGGACGCAGGCCAGTGGTCCTTACTGGGCACACAGACGCTTCTTGGGCAGACGACGCTGAGACGCTCAGGTCGTCGCAGGGCTACTGTTTCAGCCTTGGTTCGGGTGCTATCTCTTGGAGATCCACTCGCTCGTCGTCTGTGGCTCAGTCTAGCTGTGAGGCTGAGATCTACGCTGGTGCCATGGCGGCACAGGAGCTCCGCTGGCTGACCTTCTTGCTCACAGACTTAGGTGAGCGGCCTAGCTCTGCCCCGGTCCTGTACGCTGACAACAGGGCCATGATACTCCTGTGTCAGGAGCCTCGGCTTGAGGGCAGAGCGAAGCATATCCAGCTGCGGTACTTCCTCCTGCGCGAGCTACAGCAGCGCCGCCAGGCCCGCGTAGTTCACTTGGCCTCAGGTGCCAACACAGCTGATATCTTTACTAAGGCGCTTGCGCCTAAAGATCATCAGCGGCACTGTGTACAGCTTGGTCTTGTTCCTATAGCTGCTCCCCTGTTAGGATCCTGATTGTGTACTCTGTATTATATATGCTTGTCAGACTGGCCTTGTGGCCTTACCTCCAGTGGCTGGACTAGTAGTGCCACCCTGGCTTGCTTCAGTTTTGGTTGTATTCTTGCTGACTGGTCTCCAGACCCCTGCCTCAGTGGTTGGACTAGTAGTGCCGCCCTGAGCTGTTTGCTTCTTGTTTAGTTTCACCCCTTGTCTAGCCTAGGGGGTGTGTCAACTTATACATATTATCTATGTAGAAGTTATAGGCTAGACTGAGGTATGCTTCTAGTGAGTACAACCAACTAGTATTTGTTCTAGGTTTCCACCTCTAGTAATCATTCGTTTCTACGTTAACAGCACAAACCTGGCCTTGACTATAGCACTCAGCAGGGATTGGCCAACGACGATTGGTTTGTGAGTTTCGTCGTAGCGGATGCTGTACCTCGCTAACAGTCGCTCCGCGCAGTTTTGAACACACATGGCCTAAAACACTCAAATTCAAATTGCATTTTACATAACACATGGGCACTATATTTTTCCGGGCCACTGTTAACACCCAGTCATTTTTTTAGTGAATTTTTATATACACCATAGGGTGTTATATACGGGGGATTACGGTATATAGGGGCAGTGTCTAACAGGAGAAGAAGCAGCTCAGGGGACGGGGTGCCGCAGGAGCCACTGGGTCCCAGGAGGGAAGGTACCAATGAAGCCCTGAGGGCGGCGCACGTAGACGTGCTCGTCTAGACTGCCCTGAAGAAAGGCAGTAGAGAAGTCGAGAGAGTGAAGCTCGTAGTCACGCTGAGCTCCTACGTGTAGCAGCACCCGAAGAGTAGTCATCTTCGGTGTCGGAGCAAAGGCCTGGAAGAAGTCCACCCCCTCACGCTGACTCAAACCTCTAGCCACGTGGCGCGCCTTGAACACATGCGGCTCTCCAGGAGGGCGCTTCACCTTGAAGAGCCAGCGGCCATCGACTACGTTCACCCCAGGTGGGGGAACAGCGTCGACGTAGGTGCCGGTGGATCTCCAAGATGCCATCTCCTGCTCCATGGCAGCTATCCACTGAGAGGCCCAGGGTCCCGAGGTCGCCTCAACGTAAGTGCGAGGGGTTGGGATGTCAATGGCGTCAGGGTCACCCTCAGGGACTAGCAGCATGGAACAGAGATGGGGAGCAGCCTCGGACAGGAAAGCCCTGAGGGCGGCGCAGGTAGACGTGCTCGTGTAGACTGCCTTGAAGAAAGGCAGTGGAGAAGTCGAGGGAGTGAAGCTATTAGTACGCTGATCTGCTATGTGTAGCAACACCCGAAGAGTAGTCATCTCCGGGGTCGGAGCGAAGGTCTGAAAGAAGTCAACCCCCTCACGCTGACTGAAACCTCTGGCCACGTAGCGCACCTTGAACACGGGCGGCTCTCCAGGGGGGCGCTTCACCTTGAAGAGCCAGCGGCCATCGACTACGTTCACCCCAGGTGAGGGAACTGCGTCGATGTAGGGGCCGGTGGATCTCCAAGATGCCATCTCCTACTCCATGGCAGCAATCCACTTAGAGGCCCAAGGTCCCGAAACCGCCTCAGCGTAAGTGCGAGGGGTCGGGATGTCGAAAGCGTCCGGGTCACTCTCAGAGACTAGTAGCATGGAACAGAGATGGGGAGCAGCCTCAGACAGGAAAGCAAGCTCGTACTGACGGTCCTCCAGGACGTCACTGCCGAGGGCAGGAGCACCCCTGACAGACGGAGGACAGGCAGGGTCAGAGACCAGAGCGGTGGCGTAGTCAAGGCGGCGGGTAGAGGTGAAGTCAGCGACTGCAGCGACAAGAGCGTCAAGACACGAAACCGGAACAGACGGGTCGGTAACGAGAGAGGCAAGGACCCAAGGAACAAGAGGACGAGCAGCACGCAGGTAGTCAGACAGAGGGGGGGGCGCAACAATATGGGAGGACGGAGGAGGTGACGGGAGAAGGGGAGGATGAGACGCGTGGGAACGAAGCAACATAGGGTGAGAGCGCGAGACAGGGGAGACAAGTCGAGCACGGGAGGGACGGCGAGACCAGACGTGAGATGGAGGCGTCGGGTCAGGAGACAGAGGAGCGGACACAAGAGGGGAACGAGGGGGGAAACGAGCCGGAGACGAGTCCGGAGGAGGGAATACAGGGCCGTAGACAGGAGGAGGAGGAGGCACAAACGCGGGGTCAGGGGACGGAAGGCCGAGCAGGCCAAGAGCTGACACCGGCGTGGACTGCGGCTGTGGGGGTGCGACACCGACACCGGGACCGCAAGCTGTCGGACGGCTACCTCCAAAACACTCCACTCTAGCACCCCCAGAGGTCAGAACCTCGCGAGCACCGGTGGACACGCGCAGAGACAAGCCACGGGATGAGAACGTCGGCCTTCCGCTCCAGGGGGAACACAGTGGTATAGCGCGTGTAGTCATCGACAAGCACTAGGAAGTAGCGCTCTCGACGTGGCCCATGGACGGGGGCGGGGCCCCAAACGTCCATGTGCAGTGTCTGTAGCGGTGCGGCGGTAGGGGGAAACGAGGAGGAGTGAGGAGCATGGCGAAGCCGGCCCTCAACACAAGGCGTGCAAGGTGGGGCAGGGGAGGAGGGAAACTCAGAGAATGACCCAGGGAGGCCTAGGACGAGACCGTGCTGTGACATGTGACGCAGACGCGGGAGCGCAGGGTGACCTAGGCGGTGGTGCCAAAGGAGGGTCGGGTGAGTGAGTGACCGACAGGAGCTGGCAGCAGTGACCTGAGTAGACGCAGCCACATGAGGGGGCGTCCCAGCCGAGGAAGTCACAGTGTCCAGTGTGAAAAGGTCGGACACCGGGTCCCGTGGGAACGTGGTAAAGGGGGCACCAGTGGCGGCCTCGGTACAGACAGCATACTACTCGTGACCAGGGAACGTAGTGGTGACGCCAAGGTCCTGGAGGCAGCCGACACCAACTAGGTTCCTGGAGAACGTGGGGATGTGCAGACTGTGAGAGAGCCCAAAGGAACTGCCGGATAGGGAAGGGTGGTGGAACTGCGGGCGACTAGAGGGCCAGAGGAGGGGTCCGCAAGAGAAACTGCAGCAGGAACAGGAAGCGGCGTCAGCGTGGTGGAGTCGCGGAAGAAACACCGGGAAGCGCCAAAGTCCAAGGTGAAGGAAAGCGCGGCAGTGGCGGCCGGAGCAGCGACGGAAGCACCAAGGCTAAACAAAGCAGGGGATCCTACGCCTGACGCAGCACGGGAGTCTAGGCTAGGCACACCTACACTAGGCAACAAGGGGTAATAAGAAGGAAGCACACTAGAGTCATCAGCATACATTACATGCAAGGCAGTAACAATCTCATCCATGTCCATATCAAAGATCGGGACACTACGACGAAGCAAGATGTGCCAGTCTGGGAGCTCGGGCGATGGGCCGAAGCGCTGACGAAACAGGTCGTCCAGGGGAAGGAAACAGCGGACGGAGGTATGACCGATCTTACCGCAAACGAAGCCACGGCGAGGACCGGTCTGGAGCTGGTACTGACAGCGCGCGTCACCCAACCCACCACCCGGCAGCCCACCACGTGCACGACCACCACGTCCAGCACCACCACCACTGCCAGGCCACCCGGGTGGGAGACCACTCGCCCGCCTCGGCTGCTGCGGCGGCTGCGGCTGGTGCGAGGACTACTGCAGCGACTGGCGCGTGTCCGGCTGCAACACCTGCAGCTGCTGAGACGGCTGCTCGGCTGCACCTGTCAGGGTCCCCTCGTCCGCGCCACCACTAGGGAACCCAACTCCACCACCACCTTCACTGGAACCCCCACCCCCTCCGCCGCGCCCAGCCTTGGGGCGGTGACCCTTCCCCGAACGGACGTGTGCTGTAGTGGCTGTCTCAGCCACAGCAGCAGAACCGTCAGAGAAGGTGCACTGAGCGGGGGCACAACCCTGAAAGATAGGGAACGGCACAGTAGCGCTGGTCTGGGCGATAGAGCGGTGGCGGGCCTCTATGGCGGACAGGGTGTCAACAAAGTCAGTGAGGGTGAGGTCTCCGGGGTGGACGCTAAGGAAGCGGTCGCGGGCAGTGGCAAGGCAGTCAGGGAGGGGGGTGGCCAGCAGGTAGAGAGCAGAGCAGAGGGGCGGCTGGTGAGCGCGAAGCTGTGTGTCAGTGCAGGCAGCACGCCAGGTCTCGTCTATAGTGCGTAGGTGGGCGGCCAGATCAGCGACAGTGGGAAACGACGCAAGGTCAGGGAAGAGCATGGGGAGGATCAGACGACCTACCGAGGCAGCAGGCGGGGTGGAATAGCGCTGGACAACAGCATCTAGGAAAGCCTGGGCAGTGGTGACAGACCTAAAGCGAGGGCGCTCAGACAGGGGGAGGGCATGGCTGATAGTAAGCTGTGCAACAGCATCACGCGACAGCCAGACGGAGCGAGCAAGGGCAGCGGCCGCAGCGGACTCACGCTCTGCAGACGAGGGGTCAACGGGCAGCGCAGCAGGGGGGTCAGGACAGGGGAGCGTACCGTCAAGATGGACAGACAGCGAGTGGCCATCCTGCCGCTGACCAGTGTGGTGGCGGTGGAGGTCGGCCAGCCATGCCTCAAACTCAATCGGCTGGCCCTCAGCATCAAAGCGAAGCACCTCCGCCATCAGGAACGATGCAGGGCGGTGTAGAGCAGTGCAGTGCGGTGCAATGCGGCACCGTGCGGTGCAGTGCAATGCAGTGCGGTGTAGTGCGGTACAGCGCGGTGCAGTGCGGTGCAATGCAGTGTAGCGCAGTGCAGTGCGGTGCAGAGCGGTGCAAATTGGTACAGTGCGATGCAAAGCGGTGCTGTGCGGTACCAGGGGGGTTGTAGGGCGGTGCTGGTCGGAAAGAACGGGCCGGGCACGAGTCGGCGGCGGGCTGGCGGCGAAGCGAATGCGGGGCCGGCGACGACGGCGGACGCTAGGGGCCGGCCGGCGGACAGCGGACGCGAGGGGCCGGCGACGACGGCGGATGCTAGGGGCCGGCTGGCGGACGGCGGACGCGAGGGGCCGGTGACGACGGCAGACGCTAGGGGCCAGCCGGCGGACGGCGGACGCGAGGGGCCGGCGGACGGCGGACGCGCGGGGCCGGCAAGGGGCGGGCACGGGGCCGACGAGGGGCGGGCACGAGGGGCCGGTAAGGAGCGGGCAAGAAGGGGGGGCCGGCTAGGAGAGGGCGCGACGGCTCAGGGGAGGAACGGCCAGGACAGGCGTGGCGGCGAGAAGGGGCCGGCTAGGGGCAGGCGCGACGGCGAGCAGGGCCGGCTAGGACGGGCGCGACGTCACACGGGGCCGGCTAGGGACGTACGCAACGGCGCAGGGGGCCGGGGAGGACGATCGTGACGGCTGCTAGGAACGGCCGCGACGGCTAGGAACGGTCGCGACGGCGGCTAAGGACGACCGCGACGGCGGCTAAGGACGACCGCGACGGCTAGGAACGGCCGCGAGAACAGCTAGGAACGACCGCAAAGGCGGCTAGGAGCGTTTGCGACGGCTAGGAACGGCCGCGACGGCGGCTAGGAACGGTCGCGACGGCTAGGAAAGACCGCGACAGCGGCTAGGAACGACCGCGACGGCGGCTAGGAACGGCCGCGGCGGCGGCTAGGAACAGTCGC